AGGAACATGCTAACCACGACACATGGGCCAAGAGGCTCCCAGGCAGCTAACCCACTATGCTAGAGCAGGATAGGTAAAACTACGCACCTCGGGCGGGGCTCGAACCCGCGGCCACGGGCTTAAAAGGCACGCGCTCTGCCGACTGAGCTACCTGGGCACATGCTACTGATGACACATGAACCGAGAGACCCCCAGGCAGGTATCCAACTACGCCAAAACAAGGTCGGATCAACTACGCACCTCGAGCGGGGCTCGAACCCGCGGCCACAGGCTTAAAAAGTACGCGCTCTGCCGACTGAGCTACCGAGACACATGCTACTGATGACACATGGGCCGAGAGGCCCCCAGGCAGGTAGCCAACTACGCCAAAACAAGGTCGGATAAGGTACGCACCTCGGGCGGGGCTCGAACCCGCGGCCACGGGCTTAAAAGGCACGCGCTCTGCCGACTGAGCTACCGAGGCACATGCTACTGCTGACACATGGGCCGAGAGGCTCCCAGGCAGCTAACCCACTACGCTAGAACAGGGTAGGTAAAGCTACGCACCTCGGGCGGGGCTCGAACCCGCGGCCACGGGCTTAAAAGGCACGCGCTCTGCCGACTGAGCTACCGAGGCACATGCTACTGATGACACATGGGCCGAGAGGCCCCCAGGCAGGTAGCCAACTACGCCAAAACAAGGTCGGATAAGGTACTCACCTCGGGCGGGGCTCGAACCCGCGGCCACGGGCTTAAAAGGCACGCGCTCTGCCGACTGAGCTACCGAGGCACATGCTACTGATGACACATGAACCGAGAGGCCCCCAGGCAGGTAGCCAACTACGCCAAAACACGGTCGGATAAGGTACGCACCTCGGGCGGGGCTCGAACCCGCGGCCACGGGCTTAAAAGGCACGCGCTCTGCCGACTGAGCTACCGAGGCACATGCTACTGATGACACATGGGCCGAGAGGCCCCCAGGCAGGTAGCCAACTACGCCAAAACACGGTCGGATAAGGTACGCACCTCGGGCGGGGCTCAAACCCGCGGCCACGGGCTTAAGGTACGCACCTCGGGCGGGGCTCAAACCCGCGGCCACGGGCTTGAAAGGCACGCGCTCTGCCGACTGAGCTACCGAGGAGCATGATAGTGACGGCACATGGGCCGAGAGGCTCCCAGGTAGCTAACCCGCGACGCTAGAACAACATTGGCTAAGATACACACCTCGAGCGGGGCTCGAACCCGCGGCCACGGGCTTAAAAGGCACGCGCTCTGCCGACTGAGCTACCGAGGCACATACTACCCATGACACACGGGCCGAGAGGCTCCCAGGCAGCTAACCCACTACGCTAGAACAGGGTAGGTAAAGCTACGCACCTCGGGCGGGGCTCGAACCCGCGGCCACGGGCTTAAAAGGCACGCGCTCTGCCGACTGAGCTACCGAGGCACATGCTACTGATGACACATGAACCGAGAGGCCCCCAGGCAGGTAGCCAACTACGCCAAAACACGGTCGGATAAGGTACGCACCTCGGGCGGGGCTCGAACCCGCGGCCACGGGCTTAAAAGGCACGCGCTCTGCCGACTGAGCTACCGAGGCACATGCTACTGATGACACATGGGCCGAGAGGCTCCCCAGGCAGCCAACCCACTACGCCAAAACAAGGTCGGATAAGGTACGCACCTCGGGCGGGGCTCGAACCCGCGGCCACGGGCTTAAAAGGCACGCGCTCTGCCGACTGAGCTACCGAGGCACATGCTACTGATGACACATGAACCGAGAGGCCCCCAGGCAGGTAGCCAACTACGCCAAAACACGGTCGGATAAGGTACGCACCTCGGGCGGGGCTCAAACCCGCGGCCACGGGCTTAAGGTACGCACCTCGGGCGGGGCTCAAACCCGCGGCCACGGGCTTGAAAGGCACGCGCTCTGCCGACTGAGCTACCGAGGAGCATGATAGTGACGGCACATGGGCCGAGAGGCTCCCAGGTAGCTAACCCGCGACGCTAGAACAACATTGGCTAAGATACACACCTCGAGCGGGGCTCGAACCCGCGGCCACGGGCTTAAAAGGCACGCGCTCTGCCGACTGAGCTACCGAGGCACATACTACCCATGACACACGGGCCGAGAGGCTCCCAGGCAGCTAACCCACTACGCTAGAACAGGGTAGGTAAAGCTACACACCTCGGGCGGGGCTCGAACCCGCGGCCACGGGCTTAAAAGGCACGCGCTCTGCCGACTGAGCTACCGAGGCACATGCTACTGATGACACATGGGCCGAGAGGCCCCCAGGCAGGTAGCCAACTACGCCAAAACAAGGTCGGATAAGGTACGCACCTCGGGCGGGGCTCGAACCCGCGGCCACGGGCTTAAAAGGCACGCGCTCTGCCGACTGAGCTACCGAGGCACATGCTACTGATGACACATGAACCGAGAGGCCCCCAGGCAGGTAGCCAACTACGCCAAAACACGGTCGGATAAGGTACGCACCTCGGGCGGGGCTCAAACCCGCGGCCACGGGCTTAAGGTACGCACCTCGGGCGGGGCTCAAACCCGCGGCCACGGGCTTGAAAGGCACGCGCTCTGCCGACTGAGCTACCGAGGAGCATGATAGTGACGGCACATGGGCCGAGAGGCTCCCAGGTAGCTAACCCGCGACGCTAGAACAACATTGGCTAAGATACACACCTCGAGCGGGGCTCGAACCCGCGGCCACGGGCTTAAAAGGCACGCGCTCTGCCGACTGAGCTACCGAGGCACATACTACCCATGACACACGGGCCGAGAGGCTCTCAGGTAGCTAACCCACTATGCTAGAGCGGAATAGGTAAAGCTACGTACCTCGGGCGGGGCTCGAACCCGCGGCCACGGGCTTAAAAGGCACGCGCTCTGCCGACTGAGCTACCGAGGCACATGCTACTGATGACACATGAACCGAGAGGCCCCCAGGCAGGTAGCCAACTACGCCAAAACACGGTCGGATAAGGTACGCACCTCGGGCGGGGCTCAAACCCGCGGCCACGGGCTTAAGGTACGCACCTCGGGCGGGGCTCAAACCCGCGGCCACGGGCTTGAAAGGCACGCGCTCTGCCGACTGAGCTACCGAGGAGCATGATAGTGACGGCACATGGGCCGAGAGGCTCCCAGGTAGCTAACCCGCGACGCTAGAACAACATTGGCTACGATACACACCTCGAGCGGGGCTCGAACCCGCGGCCACGGGCTTAAAAGGCACGCGCTCTGCCGACTGAGCTACCGAGGCACATACTACCGATGACACACGGGCCGAGAGGCTCCCAGGTAGCTAACCCACTATGCTAGAGCGGAATAGGTAAAGCTACGCACCTCGGGCGGGGCTCGAACCCGCGGCCACGGGCTTAAAAGGCACGCGCTCTGCCGACTGAGCTACCGAGGCACATACTACCGATGACACACGGGCCGAGAGGCTCCCAGGTAGCTAACCCACTATGCTAGAGCGGAATAGGTAAAGCTACGCACCTCGGGCGGGGTCCGAACCCGCGGCCACGGGCTTAAAAGGCACGCGCTCTGCCGACTGAGCTACCGAGGCACATGCTAACCATGACACATGGGCCGAGAGGCTCCCAGGCACCTAACCCACTGTGCTAGAGCGGGGTAGGTAAAGCTACGCACCTCGAGCGGGGCTCGAACCCGCGGCCACGGGCTTAAAAGGCACGCGCTCTGCCAACTGAGCTACCGAGGCACGTGCTAACCATGACACATGGGCCGAGAGGCTCCCAGGCAGCTAACCCACTACGCTAGAGCAGGATAGGTAAAGCTACGCACCTCGGGCGGGGCTCGAACCCGCGGCCACGGGCTTAAAAGGCACGCGCTCTACCGACTGAGCTACCGAGGCACATGCTACTGATGACACATGGGCCGAGAGGCTCCCAGGTAGCTAACCCGCGACGCTAGAACAACATTGGCTAAGATACACACCTCGAGCGAGACTCGAACCCGCGGCCACGGGCTTATAAGGCACGCGCTCTGCCGACTGAGCTACCGAGGCACATGCTACCGATGACACATGAACCGAGAGGCCCCCAGGCAGCTAGCCCACTACGCCAGAAACAAGGTCGGATAAAGGCTACGCACCTCGGGCGGGGCTCGAACCCGCGAGCCACGGGCTTAAAAGGCACGCGATCTACCGACTGAGCTACCGAGGCACATACTACCGATGACACATGGGCCGAGAGGCTCCCAGGTAGCTAACCCGCGACGCTAGAACAACATTGGCGAAGATACACACCTCGAGCGGGGCTCGAACCCGCGGCCACGGGCTTAAAAGGCACGCGCTCTGCCGACTGAGCTACCGAGGCACATGCTACTGATGACACATGGGCCGAGAGGCCCCCAGGCAGGTGGCCAACTACGCCAAAACAAGGTCGGATAAGGTACGCACCTCGGGCGGGGCTCAAACCCGCGGCCACGGGCTTAAAATGCACGCGCTCTGCCGACTGAGCTACCGAGGCACATGCTAACCATGACACATGGGCCGAGAGGCTCCCAGGCAGCTAACCCACTATGCTAGAGCGGGGTGAGTAAAGCTACGCACCTCGAGCGGGGCTCGAACCCGCGGCCACGGGCTTAAAAGGCACGCGCTCTGCCGACTGAGCTACCGAGGCACGTGCTAACCACGACACATGGGCCGAGAGCCTCCCAGGCAGCTAACCCACTACGCTAGAGCAGGATAGGTAAAGCTACGCACCTCGGGCGGGGCTCGAACCCGCGGCCACGGGCTTAAAAGGCACGCGCTCTACCGACTGAGCTACCGAGGCACATGCTACCGATGACACATGGGCCGAGAGGCCCACAGGTAGCTAACCCGCGACGCTAGAACAACATTGGCTAAGATACACACCTCGGGCGGGGCTCGAACCCGCGGCCACGAGCCCCTCAAATACGCGCTGTGCTGATTAAGCTATCGATGCCAACAGTTTAACGTCGGAGTGATTGAGACGCCCCAAAGTAGCTAGTCCCTCAACGAGGATTCGCTGCCGCACCACGTGTTGACCTAGTCAAGAAGCTTACGTATTCGCAGACCATATCTTGACGACTGGACCAGTATATGTCGTCCATATGATCCGTGCACCACTGAAGAAGACTTTGTAGGGACGTATGAGGATCATTCAAGTGATTCTCGGCCAGTCGGATAGCGGCATCCCAAAAGTCACGCAGAGCATTAGGACACGCGGCCATAAGGCCAAGGACAAGAAAAACGAGACCATCGGCGAGCATTCTCTAACGTAACCCCACTTCCTCTCCCTTCTATCACTATACACCTTCGACCTTCAACGATGCGAATGAGTCGGACGATCTTCCTGAACGGACGATGTTGCATATCTGCATTTCATGTAAGTACGCACGTGCTACGCTCTGCTGAGCCCCACCCAAACTCGAAGCATTTCGTCCAACCAAATGCTTATAACGTACGAAGGTGCAAGCTCCTCGGCCATAGGCATGAGAGGCCAGAGTCGTGCAAAGGACAAGGTATCAGCATCAGTGATGACGCCGCTCCTTGCACATACGTTTATGTCGTTCTCGCAAATGCTCTTTTGTACGATGCGGTGCGAACCTACGACCAGCCCAGGACAATCACGCCCGCACAATAAACTCAGTTTTTCCAAGCTCACCACAGGTCACGATCTGCAAGCATCAACTGCCACCTGTTCCATTTCCCTTCATACTTCTCTAAGCCTCGCTCCAGAGACTCTTGCTCTCGCTCCTAGTAGCAGGTATCAGTTCAGGCCCGTGGCGTGATTGCTGATACTCAGCTTACCGTCCATTTGCCGCCGCCGCGTCGAGGCCGCGGACTTACCATCCATACGGGCATCCTTCTCCGCTCCTCAGGTGGGGTACCTGGCTCCCTTGATCGGGCCTGAGGAGGTCGAGTTGGGCCCTCCGGCAATCATCGGTGCGTCTAGTACACTATCAGCCCTCTCTCCTGCGTCACGCCTGGGCGAACCTGACACCCAAGCATATCGAAGAACCGACATCGCTGAAGACATCGACATCACATTGCCACGGAGCGAGAAATTCTCGCCGAGAATGCGAGTAAGAGCTGGTAGAACAAGCTTCTTCATTGAAAATACGGCTACACACCATGAGTGTAGCGTCGACGGCACTTTTGTCATTAACCTTAATACTGCCCTCACGCACCTGGAGTGTTTTCAGGTACTTCACGTCCCGTGGACTTCCTATTCGTCTCCCTGCATTGTGTTGGCCGATCGCTGTCCTCTGTCTCCTCAGTCGTTTCTTCCTCCTCCTCATCATCATCATCATCATCACTATCGAAGGAGGCGGAGACCTTTCGACCAGTGCTAGGCCCATGAACCAAGGGGTGCCTCCGAGGTCCACTAGCAGAATAGTCTAACACCACAACACGCAGGGCCTCGCTACTTCTGATGCGTCCCTGATGGCTGACTAGGCTCTGCCTCCCGCTCCGCGCGGGCGGCTGCTCGTTTTCTCCTCTTCCTTTCAGCTCTCTGGTCTTCCCTGCCGATCAGTATCGAAAAGTGCAACCACGCGCGCAGTTCACCTGATTCCTGAGTTGACTAGGGCGAGGTCGTAGAGGTAATCCTCCAGCAGTTGCTCTCGCGGTCGCTGATCATCACCGCCATCATACCGACTATCCATGACACTGAAGCCCTGGGAAATCTGAAAGGAGGACGATAATGCCGAAGAATCTCCTCACTAAGCGAGGAACTATACGGCATAACAAACCCAGGAGACTATCACCCCGTTGAGCAGCAACCGGCACAGTAAATCCTGCCACCGAGAGATCGTGATACGACAGGGCGGAGTATGGCAAGGACGGGGCCAGGCAACGAGCCAGTAGCACAGCGACGGAATGTGTTGGTAAGACGGCATGAATTGGCGAGGAGTCAACAGCCCCCAAGAACCTACATATTCACATACCCGACTTTGCCGAGTTGACCAGTATCCTTCCATAAGATGGTCCGCAAAAGACTTGTAGACCTCGAGTAGGAACGCATGTGGATCATCAACGTACGTGGTCGCCACGCGTATAAGGGCATCCCAGGCGTCGTCAATCGCAGGAGGACACTCGTGCATGCAGCTCATGATAATGACAAATAGGACGACAACGCCCTAGCTTCTTATGGCGAACACCCCACTCCCGTTTCACCACTCCCAACGAGAAACAGATCGTCATAACCGGAAATTCGATCCTTGAGAGTAAATATGAAACTACGAATACTAACTGAAGTGCAACCCATGGGAACGCCAGATGACCAAGTCCTCTGTGAGTTCAGCAAACTTCGGCAAAAACCTGTCCGTGATCTCGTGCAGGAGAGCAAAGCGTGGGACTCCTCACCTCGCGTTGACAGGGTATCATTGAACACCGTCACAGAGCTGTCTACACCGCCTCCTTCACGACCACTCCTGAAACAGACCTCACTCCGGCATTCAAAGAGGGATGCTATCGGAAAATATCCGCGATAACAACTCCATCCACACGTACTGGGTAGCGGTGCTTGTGTTAATTAAGCGCGTCAACCCACTCTCGACAATTCACGACCGAGGATTCTCACAATGCCGACCATTGGGAGAAAAGGAGGGTGGCCACTAGACCGATGCTGCCACTAGAATGCACAGACCAGGCCGGCCAGCAACGCACGGACCTCCAAGCACGCAAAGTAACCCCCACCCGATCGACTATGTCCTGCACAGTGCCCTCGGCAGTCTCCGTCATGTTGATCTACCCGATCTCCATCCCCATCCGGGAGCTCGAACACCTCCCTACCGAGAGAGAGTGCATCGAGCGAGATTGACGATGCCTGTGGTTTACTCTGAACGCGCCTCTTTTCACGCAGCTTCTCCATCCTCCGGCGGGTTTTCATCCGGTCCCATTTACAGGCGATCGCAGAATACGACCGGCCGCTGAAGGCGTACCCCCTGAGAGCGCCACGACTCAACGATTGTGACAATGAGGAAGTAACCTCACCTGTACCGACTGGACCGAATCAGTTTGCTCCAGTTATTGCCATATCGCCGATGAGCCCTCCTCAGATCGTCTTCCTCCACCCACTGAAAATGACAAACACTCCGCGTATGGATCCCATTCGAGAGGCTTACCGCCCACGGGCCCTCCTTCATTCCATCACCGTTAAGATGCTGGTCCTCGAATAAGCGAGGCCCTGATCGAGGGAAGGAGGACTGGGAGCTTCCCATCAGAATATTCCTATTCAGTTCAAGTGAGGTTAACTTGCCCGTACGCAATGGCGCCTCCATCCTGGAGGTCATAGAGAACAATACAAACTCACTTGGCACCCATCCAAATAAGTGCCCTTCGGTGTCCCCCAGCTCTTCTCGTGAGAATGATGATGATAATGATGTTGATGAAGATGGAAAGGACCAAGTCGATGATGATGTGCTCGACTCGCTGCCGACTAAGAGACGCTCACACTGAGGTTGGCAGAGCACATCACAGAGCGATCACCTGGTCTCGGCCCTCCATCATCACTCCAGCGACTAACACTGTCACGACTCCTCGCAACCGAAGGCTCCGAGAGAGGCTCCGACGAGCACCGGTCATGGGGAGAAAACATTTCTCACGGCGCAGAGACCAGTGATGTGAAAGCCACAAGCAGTGACGAACAACGTCCGAGGATTGACTTCACCATCGTAGCGCTCGTATAAGAAACCCCGATCAGAGAGGTTGAAGTCGAACCTAGATGCATCGCGAAGAGCTACCCCTCCCACGCTCGACGACCCACCAACTCTGAAGGTGGGAGACTGTAAATTGAAACATCATGGCACACATCTCATCATCACACATCAAGATATCAGAATCATCATTTAGCTGCTTTTAGGCGTACCTGTCGAGGCACTCAGAACATCGACGTGATAGGGAGCAGACTACAAGCCAGAACGTGTCGCCAACTTTTGCAATGTTCTTCCAACCGCTGTGGATCAGAGAACTTCTTTCGGCAATATGTACCTATCACTGACTTGAAAGGACGGGACGCCGCAGGACAAGTTGTCGGACAACTCACAGTAGAGCCAGCCTGAGGGCTCCTCCGGGTAGTTCACACCGTCTGTGATGACTATACCATTTCGGTCCATGTCATCCTTAGTAAGATACTCTACATTAGGGACCTCCACGAAGCTGAACAACATCGATGCCTCGGGGACCATGGTGAGAGAAGGAAACCTTTACTGTGATTTCGTAGAGACCTCCTCGCCGAGGCGGCGCGTCGGAACTTGTATGCCCTCCTTCTCGCAGAACGCATGCATCGCAATCCGCTGAGTGTGGTAGTCATGCCTCAGGTGATCACGGATCTCGACGAATCCCTTGAGGCCACGCTTGCATAGACGGCACCAGTACCTGCGGAGCGAAGCAAGTTGTTGAGGCTCAACCGCTGAGCAAGCGTTGCTACAAACTCCACACTTCTAGTATGGAAATTTCGAACTCCCGCAATCTGATAGTTTTCGTTGTTAAACTGTGAGGGGCGTCGAAAGAGTCAACCCAATCGGCCGGCCCCAGATAGGTTTCATACGAGCTCTCAAATATCTACCAAATCACTCACTCTGCGCATAGAATTAGGCATCTGCCTCAGTCGTGCTACGTACGCTCCAGGCAGTCTGCACATATACTGCGTGGCACGGCAACGCAACATTCAATGAGCCGCCCCTCACACCCGTGGAAACCGCCCCAGCCTAGCTCACTTGTGTGCAATCGCCTCTCCGTTGTAAGGCCGTAGCTTGAGAAAGATTTGATGGCTCTTTATGAGATCCAGTCGCCTGCGATACTTCTTTCCTTTATGTGGCGAGAATCATGACTCACCGGTTGAACTCCGCACACATGTCCAGCTGCTCCCGATAGTAACTCTTTCTCCACTTATGCTGATGCCCTCTGAGATGGGTCAATGAAAACTTTATCATCTTCCCAGGAGGGCACTGCTTATTC